GCGCATATGGGCTCTTCTCTTCAGCAGTCGCAGTGGCACTGCTCATGACATCAGCTGGAACTGCTGCGCAGTCCGTGATGACATCACCATCCTTGACCTTGCCATACTGGCAGTACTCCAGACCTGTTTTCAGGCTTTTGTACTTCAGATAGGCCGGCCGCAATGGATTCTCGGCGGGGGGGAACTTCTGGTTCTCACACATATTGATGCTGGTGGCCACTTCCAGCCCCAAGGGAGCGAGAGCAAACCAACCCAAGAAGGCGAGGAAGAAGGAGAAAACGCTTCCCCAGAACGCTCGCATGTGTGGATTCTGTTGAACAGTTCCACAAATGCGGAGCAAGGGCAACTCCGTTGCCTTGTTGGATTCATCCACCTTCAACTTGAAGTCCGCCATGTCTGTGAGATGCCACAGAGAGAGAGTGTGCGTGTCCTGAGCCTGCAAGTGCTGCAACATAAGACGTCACAAGGGGACATCCAGGTGTCTAAGACCCCTGCGCATCCGCAGTGACCTTCCGTGCAGAGACTGCCAAGGCCCGTCCGGTCTCATTTGGGCTTCACTCAAGCGACTACTCCACCCTGCGTTTTCGACCATAACTTCTGAACAGCACACCCTAAGAAAATCATTTCAACACACCCATGGCCCTTTTCCTGACAAGGCAAACAAGACAAGACGCACCACCCTAAACCCTAAACCCTAAACCCCTAAACCCTCAAACCCTAAACCCTAAACCCTAAACCCTCAACCCCTAAACCCTAAACCCTTAACCCCTAAACCCCTCTATCTCACAGCAAGAAAAGCCGAGCGTAAGGCGAGCATCATCTTCTCGTAATCGGACTTGTGTGTGGACTCCTGGTCCTGGCTTCGGTGTGTTAGGAACTGTTAGGGTTTAGGGTTTAGGGGTTTAGGGGTTTAGGGTTTAGGGGTTTAGGGTTTAGGGTTTAGGGGTTTAGGGGTTTAGGGTTTAGGGTTTAGGGTTTAGGGCTTAGGGTTTAGTTTTGGGGGGATCTTAAAGGGCTTCATGGGTGCTGTTTGAAAGACCTCTGAGGCCGTTAGCGATTTAAGGCTTCGGGTTTAGGGTGTAGAGTTGAAGGATTGTGTTTAGAGACGTAGACTTTGGGGTGGAAGCTTTTGTACGAGGAGGTGTCAAATCCATTCTGGTCTTACAAGAAGCCTTCCGGGAAATCCTCAACTGCAAACATAAACCCGAGAAAAGCAGAACCCTACATGACAAGTTCCCAGCGCCAACCCCAGTTATATTGTTTTAAGTTGCCATAATACGGAAAGCATATGATATCATTTACTATAGACATGCATCTACAGGCCCCTAGTATCAACCGTAACACGAACGTAAGCTCAAGCCTTCGATGCCTAAGAGAATCGGACAGGGATCAGAGGAAAACGGGACGGCGTAGGCGATGCGACAGCTACGTTTTTTCGATTGTCCTCAATAGTGCTTAGGGTTTGGGGTTTAGGGTTTAGGGTTTAGGGTTTAGTGCTTAGGGTTTGGGGTTTAGGGTCCAGGGTTCCGGGTTTATGTGAAGGTATAACTCAAGAAAGTGTTGGACTCGGCACCGTTCCTCATACTGAACTATCCGTAACAGTGGCGGTGGCAGTTGTAGTGGTAGACGTCGTCGCAGTACAATGTGCAGGCGAATCGCAATACAACAGTAGTAACCAGTCATGGCACAAAAAGAAGTAGCAAGAACACCCCACACCCTGAATCCGTATACCCGAAACCATAAGCCCGAGACACCGGAACCCCCAGACCCCCTAAACCCCTAATCGCACCCTTCTCGATCCGCCAGAGGAACAGACCCTACAAAACTAAAACCTAAACCCTTATCGCTTCCGTAGAGAGTCGAGGAATACTCGCCTGTCGTGCGCTACCCAGATCTTCCAAAAATCCTTTAAGTAAGTAAGAGAGACCTTCAAGTTGCAAGCATATTAGGGATCCTACTCTAAATTAAGGAGATTAAAGGCATGTTCCTTAAAACCCTAAACCCTAAA